TCACTCATTTATCTTGGAGAGTCTTTCAGATCAAATCTGAGAGATCTTCATTGTTTTTCCCAGCTATAAAGTATTCCATTGTGAGTGTGTATCAGTGTTTATTAACCAATCCCCAACTGAGGGATGCCTGCGTCATTTCCAACTTTTTCTATTATAAACATGGCTGCAATGAATACCTTCTACAAAAGTCACTTCATAAATGTGCAAGCTATCTTTTGGGGAAAATATTACAGAAATGGGGTTGCTGAGTCAAAGGATAAACTGGCCCCATTTTTGCATTCCCATGGCAATGTAGGAAGCTTTCCCACAGCCTTTCCAGCAGGGCGTATTGTCCAGATCTGGGATTTGCACAACGCTTGATAGGGGTGTTGATTCCATCCTGCTTTCCTCAAGTGGGATTACTTTCTGTTTTACTTTATTTTGGCTGGATTACACAGCTTGTGGGATCTTAGTTCCCTGACAAGGGATCAAACTGGAGCCCCTGGCAGGAAAAGTGCCAAGTCTTAACCCCTGGACCTCCAGGGAATTCCCTTTCTGTTTTAATTTAAAATTTTATCTTTGTGTGTGTGTGTGTGTGTGTGTGTGTGGTAAGAACATGAGATCTACCCTCTGAACTAATTTTGAAGTGTACAATACAGTGTCATCAACCACAGGCACAGACTTGTACAACGGATCCCTAGCACTTATTCATCTCACGTAATTCACACTTTGCACCTATTGAACAGCAGCGCCCCATTTCCCCTTCCCCTCTGCCCCTGGCCACCACCTTTCTGCTTTCTGCTTCTATGAGCTTGACTGTTTTAGATACCTTGTGTAGACTGGAGGCTTCCCAGGTGGTGCTAATGGTAAAGAAGCCACGTGCCAACGCAGGAGAGGTAAAGAGACATGAGTTTGAGCCCTGGGTCAAGAGGATCCCCTGGAGGAGGGCATGGCAACCCACTCCAGTATTCTTGCCTGGAGAGTCCCCATGGACAGAGGAGCCTGGCGGGCGTCAGTCCATGGGATCACAAAGAGTCAGACATGACGGAAACGACTCAGCACACACACACACAACCTTACTACATATCTGTGGAATACTCAATTTCTCACCTCCCCAAATGACTACTTCACAGCTTCTCTGTTCCCAAACTTTCTATAATCCCTCTTCACTGGTGACCTTGCTTCTGATTCCCTGAGAAAATAAAAGTAATCAGAATCCACTGCCCTCATTCCTCACCACATCTCTCGTGCCCTAACATCTGAACCTGTATCATCCACCAATCAAAGTCTAGGTCCTCCACTTTTGCTCTGGATCCTGTCCCCTCCCACCTTCCCAGAGTCTTGGCTCTTGCAATAAACCCCTTTCTTCTCTCTGACATCTATGCCTCCCTTGCCACTGGATCACTTCCATCAGCCTGCAGACACGCCTCACTGTCATTCTTCTCTTTAAAAATTTAAAAAGAAATAAATCTCTTGACTCTTCCTTCCCATCTAGTAACAGCTGCTCTGCATCTCAGCTGTCCTTCACACTATAGTTTCTCTTTTTATCATCTTTAATAACTATCTTCAGTTCCTCACCTCCCATCTCTTCACCACCTGTTCCAATCAAACATCGTCCTTTCTACTCCACTGACACTGGTCTTGCCAAGATAACAGAGATCTCCATGTTGTCAAATCACATTGCCACATCTGTGTCCTTGTCTTGCTCTGCCTTTCAGCAGCATTCGACAGAGCTGATCAACGCCTCCTCCTCGACACATTTTCTGTGTCAGCTTTCATGATACCTTCATTTCAGTGGTTCCTTGTCTCCCTGGCTGGAGTCTCCTTTGCTAGAGACTCCTCTCCTCTCGGTGTTAGTATGTTCTAGAGTTCATTCATGAGACCTCTTTTCTTCCCCAAGTCTAATGTCTCCACGAATCATCTCATTATTCTATGATGAATTTAAGGGCCATCGTCAGGCCTTGGGATTCAATGACTTCAAAATTCACATATCCATCCTGATCTCTCCTCCAAACTCCTAACTCTTGACTTAGATACTTGTTTGACTTCAAGAAGCATTTCAAACGTAACATGTCCAAAACAGAACCCTCAGGATCCCCCTCAAACAGCCTCCTCTGCAAGTCTTCTCCATGGCCTTAAACAGCTCCATTCATCCGGTTGCCCAAGCCAAAACCCCGAGTCCTCCTCCGTTTCTCTTTCCCTACCCGCTCCTCCCTGCCCTACTGTCCAGTCCACCAGCAAGACCCACTGATGCTCCCTAAAAATACTTCCGCAGTCCACCTACTGGCTGTTGTCTCCATTGCTACCATTCTAGTCCGTAAGCCATCATCCTGCCATTTACCAGTGCAGTAGCCTCCTGTCTGGCTTCCTGCCTACCATTCACCCCCCGTCCAGCCACCAGGACTACTTTTAACAGCGTAAACCAGAGCGTATTACTGTCTTGGCTAAAAAATACCCTCCAGTGGTTCTGCATTGCACTTGGAATAAAACCCCCGCCTCACCCAACTCTGCAAAGCCTTCTGTGGCCAGAACCCCATCCACCTCTCTGACCCCATCTACTCTTCTGGCTTGCCTCTAGCCACGTGGCACTTTTTCTGTTGCTCAAACCCTCACTCATTCCCACCTGAAGGCCTTTGAGTGGTTGTTTCCCCTTCTTAGAAAGCTTACCCTCCATGCTCATGCCCAGTTGCTCAGTCATGCCCAACGCTCTGCAGGGTCAAGCAATGCATACATGCACAGGGGCCCCCGGTGAGAAGAGGGGCAGGTATGTCATTGTTGTTGTTTAGTTGCTAATCTCTTTAAAAATTTAAAAAGAAATAAATCTCTTGACTCTTCCTTCCCATCTAGTAACAGCTGCTCTGCATCTCAGCTGTCCTTCACACTATAGTTTCTCTTTTTATCATCTTTAATAACTATCTTCAATTCCTCACCTCCCATCTCTTCACCACCTGTTCCAATCAAACATCGTCCTTTCTACTCCACTGACACTGGTCTTGCCAAGATAACAGAGATCTCCATGTTGTCAAATCACATTGCCACATCTGTGTCCTTGTCTTGCTCTGCCTTTCAGCAGCATTCGACAGAGCTGATCAACGCCTCCTCCTCGACACATTTTCTGTGTCAGCTTTCATGATACCTTCATTTCAGTGGTTCCTTGTCTCCCTGGCTGGAGTCTCCTTTGCTAGAGACTCCTCTCCTCTCGGTGTTAGTATGTTCTAGAGTTCATTCATGAGACCTCTTTTCTTCCCCAAGTCTAATGTCTCCACGAATCATCTCATTATTCTATGATGAATTTAAGGGCCATCGTCAGGCCTTGGGATTCAATGACTTCAAAATTCACATATCCATCCTGATCTCTCCTCCAAACTCCTAACTCTTGACTTAGATACTTGTTTGACTTCAAGAAGCATTTCAAACGTAACATGTCCAAAACAGAACCCTCAGGATCCCCCTCAAACAGCCTCCTCTGCGAGTCTTCTCCATGACCTTAAACAGCTCCATTCATCCGGTTGCCCAAGCCAAAACCCCGAGTCCTCCTCCGTTTCTCTTTCCCTACCCGCTCCTCCCTGCCCTACTGTCCAGTCCACCAGCAAGACCCACTGATGCTCCCTAAAAATACTTCCGCAGTCCACCTACTGGCTGTTGTCTCCATTGCTACCATTCTAGTCCGTAAGCCATCATCCTGCCATTTACCAGTGCAGTAGCCTCCTGTCTGGCTTCCTGCCTACCATTCACCCCCCGTCCAGCCACCAGGACTACTTTTAACAGCGTAAACCAGAGCGTATTACTGTCTTGGCTAAAAAATACCCTCCAGTGGTTCTGCATTGCACTTGGAATAAAACCCCCGCCTCACCCAATTCTGCAAAGCCTTCTGTGGCCAGAACCCCATCCACCTCTCTGACCCCGTCTACTCTTCTGGCTTGCCTCTAGCCACGTGGCACTTTTTCTGTTGCTCAAACCCTCACTCATTCCCACCTGAAGGCCTTTGAGTGGTTGTTTCCCCTTCTTAGAAAGCTTACCCTCCATGCTCATGCCCAGTTGCTCAGTCATGCCCAGCGCTCTGCAGGGTCAAGCAATGCATACATGCACAGGGGCCCCCGGTGAGAAGAGGGGCAGGTATGTCATTGTTGTTGTTTAGTTGCTAATTCATGTCTGACCCTTTCCTGACCCCATGGACCATAGCCCACCAGGTTCCTCTGTCTATGGGATTTCTAGACTACAATACTGGAGTGAGTTGCCATTTCCTTCTCCAGAGGATCTTCCCAACCCAGGGACCAAACCTGTGTCTGCTATTTTGGCAGGCGGATTCTTTATCACTGAGCCACCAGGGAAGCTCTTACTCCCTCCAACCCCTCTCTATTTTATTTTATGCATAGCACTAATCCCACATTGGCATTTCCTTGGTTTTGTTGTGCAGTTTGTGTGTGTGTGTGTGTGTGTGTGTGTGTGTGTCTTACCTAGAGTAAAATCTTCCTGAAAGTATGGGTCACACTGTCTTGTTCTCTGCTCGACTCCCAGTACCTAGAACAGCTTCTGGCCTTTAACAGGTGTTCAGAAAATATTTGTTGAAGGGATGAATGAATCTGAGCGTTCCTTGCGATCGGTGCAGCTCCTGACATGGATGTACTAAGCTCTCTTGTATTCGCTGAATTAACGGACAGGTTGCTCCAACTCTGTGTGAGCTTCTTGAGAATAGAAGCCCTATTTCCTTTGTTTCCTCTCCAGCTCCTGGCATGATGCTAGGGACTTCCAGGTGCCGGGTAAATATGCTTGCTTGATTGATTCTTCTTCACAAAGGGAAAGTCAAACTATTAAGCTGCTTACCTAATAGACCAATTCTCTGAGAATCAGCATGTGACACAAGAGGAAAGTCATAAGAACAGGGCTGAATTGAGTAGGAAGCTCTAGGGATGGGTCAGCCTCTGTCGGCTGGAATTGTAAAAGGAGTGTCCGCACCTTATAGATTTTCTATCTGAATTCTAGCCATGACGCTACACTTGTTTCTGGTGAATGTGTTACAGGATGCAGCCTACATCCTGGTGATGGTGGACCCTGATGCACCCAGCAGGTCTTCTCCCAAAGCTCGATTCTGGAGACATTGGCTGGTGTCAGATATCAAGGTAAGCAGGCCAGAAGGCACTTTCAGACTCAGCGGGCACTGGGGCCACAAGATGGTCATTCTCAGCTCTCACTCGGGTTCTCAGCTCTCATTTGGGAGGGTCAGGGACCCTGATAAGCCAGGACTTCTGTGTCAGGTCACCCCCAGCACCCAGCTGTCACAGCCTTGTGCACGTTTTCCAATAATTTCAGAAAATATCCCAGGATCAGTGATTCATAGGTAAGCAGGTTCTCAGGATAAGTAGGGGTGGAGCCCCAATTTGTACTGTTTTCCTGGTTTCTGTATTGTAAAGACTCCCGCTGTCGCCAGTTTCACGTTACAGTGATTTCATAACTGAGTCGCCAATTTTCTGAAACTGTAGCATTGGCTCCAGGACACCACTGCCAGGGGCCTGGGTGGAGGCGGGGGCACCAGGTGATTCTATGCGGTCCTCATGGCAGGGGACTCCTGCAGGATCTGCTCCTGATGGGCCAACGGGCATGGAGGAGGCCTGGTGATCCATCTCTTTTTCTTTGTACAGAAACAAATGACCTTCCCTTATTTTTCCTTTTGTCATCAGCCATAATTAGAAAGGTGATCGGCTCCGCCTTTCCAGAGTTGGTCTGAGGAACACAAATCCGGTGGCTTGTTAAAGGGGCATTAGATGAAAAAACCAAAACCAAAAAGGCTCTATTGCTAGGCAAGTTTTGGAGACTCTGGGTTAAACTGCATTAATCCCATTCCTCACTGAAGGGCTTTTTGGAGCTTTTAATATCCTAGTATGCGTTATATAACATGCATCTATTTTCCCATCTCACTTGACTGTTGAATCTTTTGTTCACAAGCACGTGGCAGTGCACTAGGGGAAAATCCACGCTACATCAGACATCCGTGTATTTCTGCTGGAAAGCCTGCCGATGGCATTTGCATCACGTGTGCAAGGCATCAGCCCCAAAAGATGGTGGGAACCCAGATCTAAAAAGACTGAGTCTGGATCCAGGCTGGTTCCCAACTCAGTGATCTCTATCACGTCGTGGAGACCCTCACGGCATTTCATCTTTATCCATAAGATGGGAACCATGTTAACGCTTCTGTATAGTTGTAGTGATCCTACAATGAGAGCATGTACTAAGAACAGTCTCTAAAACACAGCACATACCACAAATATAGGGACTTCGTAGTTTTCCTTCTAGAGCTGTGGGGCAGAGGAAGGGGTATCTGTCTGAACTAGCTATTGACTCTCCTGGTCAAGGCAGGGCTTTCATAACCACTGGAGTGGGGAGGTGGTGGGAGGGTTACCCTGGCAACCAACCTCTGCCCAGTGACCACAGATCCTTCGCAGGATGCTCAGGGGGACAGCCAGTTCACAGGGGCAGCCCCGATGACAATCTAGGTAGTGGCTCCCTCCAGGGAGACTTGCAACAGCGGCTTCCAGAACAGAACCCAAGCAGGGCTGAAGGGCAGGAGCAGTGCTCCCACACCCTCCCTTGGCCAAGCCCTGCTCTCTAAGAGCCTTGGAAACACCATAAACCTGTGAAAGGGAAGAGCTAGGGGAGATTGCTGCCATCAGGGGAGGGAGGGGAGCTGAGAGCATGAAAGGGAAAGATACTGGATCCTGCCACAAGCTAGAGCGGAGGCTCTGTGAGCACTCAGGACTCCCCAGCAGCCACGAGGGGGTGAAACTCTCAAGAAAAGACCATCACTCTGGTCATCATATTTACAGTCTGCCCCCCACCCTCCAACACACACACACAGGGCTGCCTGTAAGAAAGTTCTGTGGGCAACTCTGAGGCCCGATTTCAGAAGCTGGAATGTAATGGAATGTGATAATGCATGCATGTTCAGTTGTATCTAACTCTTTGCGACCCCATGGACTATAGTCCTCCAGTCTCCTCTCTCCATGGGATTCTCCAGGCAAGAATACTGGAGTGGGTTGCCATGTCCTCTTCCAGGGTATCTTCCCAACCCAGGGATCAAACCCATGTCTCCTGCATCTCCTGCATCTCCTGCATTGGTTAGTTACCCACTGAGTCACATTTCAGAGTACAGGGCTCCTTGGGGTCATGAGGTTGCCTCTTTTCCAAGCCTGAAGTCTCTTCCTGCCCACACCCCTCCCTCAGTACAGGACAGGACAGTGGTGCAAATGAGGTTTCAGCCCTCATAGCCCAGCTTAGAAGCAGAACAGGCGGCAGGTGGCAGCTGGCCGGCGGGACCGCTAAGCCATAGAGCTTACCAGGGCCACCTGCCCGGGTACAGCCCTCAGCCCTCTCTCTTGGGCTGGAGGAAGCTTGGGTTTCCGCTGCATTGTCACCCACTTGCCAGATGCAAGGGTCCATCAGGAAGCAGCAGCTCTCCCCAGTAATGTCCACTCAGCCTGACCGCCGGCCCCCGTGTTCCGCCAGTTGCACAGCTGGTATGAAAACCAGCCTGGGGTAGGTCTCGGACCGTGACTCTCTGCCAAAGGAGAAGAGGGCGCTGATCAGAAGCACCTCCTGTGTGTCGGTGTGCGGCTACGGCTGAGTCGGTCCCCAACATTAAAGCATATTTGGAGCAGCTAGCAAGCTTGTTACAATGCAGATTCCTGGGTGCCCCTTGGGTCAGGGTGGAGGGAACAGGGCATCCACATTCCACAGGCATCCAGGAGGGGTTTAGCAGCTGGAAGGAAGACTGCAGAGCTCAGTGGCAGAATGCCTGGGTCCTTGTTAATATCATCCATTTGTACAGCAATTTGCAAGTGAAAAGCACTTTTAGAACTTCCTGTTTGTTCAATTCCTGGGTCAGGAAGATCCCCTGGAGAAGGAAATGCCAACCCCCTCTGGTATTCTTGCCTGGAAAATCCCATGAACAGAGGAGCCTCTTGGACTACAGTCCATGGTGTCAAAAGAGTCAGATATGACTGAGCGACTAACACTTTCACTACTTTTTTTTTCACTGATCCTCTCAATCACTTTGTGAACCAGATATTATCCCCATTTTACAGATGGGGAAACAAAGGCTGCAGAGAGGAAATGATTCCAGTCTCTCAGCTATGAGTGGTAGAGGTGGGTCTTCAATCCTGGTGCCTCAACTCCAAACCACCTTCCCACGTGATCAGGGTTCACACCACATCTCTTCCATCAACTCCACTGTGGCCAAAGGCGTGTCACCATGCCCTGCCTGTATAACAGGAAACATAATCTCTGTGGGTCCGTTCTCATCCTGGGGCTCTGCTTCTGGTTACGTTTTACAAGTGGATGCTTCCAGGGACCCTCCTGAGGGAATAAATAAATTGGTAAATAAAACATAACTGATAAGGATCTTGAACCCCATAAAAGTAAACCCTGCATGTTATCATAGCCCTCCGCAGCAAGTGGAGTCAGCAATAAGGCATGCCAAAAAGTCACTGCAGATACAGAAAGGCAGCAGCTCTGTGATTCACAAGGACCACACAGGCAAACCTGGTGGCACCTAGGCTGGCCTCATTAATAGGGCATGAGTGTGTGCCAGGTCGCTTCAGTCGTGTCTGACTCTTTGTGACCCTAGGAACTGTAGCTCGCCAGGCTCCTGTGTCCATGGAATTCTCCCAGCAAGAACACTGGAGCGGGTTGCCATGCCCTCCTCCAGCGGATCTTCCTGACCCAGGGGTCGAACCTGAGTCTCTTATGTCTCCTGCATCAGCAGGCGAGTTCTTTACCACTAGCGCCACCTGTGGGACTCAGACCTAATTGGGTGGTGGGCTGCACCATGGCCATGGGAGCCCCTCAGTAGAGACAATTTTTTGGACTGTCTGTCCAGGTTGAAATAGGGTATAAACCACTTCTTAGGAATACGTGAAATATCAGCAGCCCCTCCAGTGAGAGACTGGTGGGATCTGGGACAGAGTAGGATAAAGCTTCAGTCCTTAAAGAAAAACTAGGAGCTAGAAAGAAGTCTATCAAAAAGGACTAGGCATTCAGGGTACTCTTTGTTCGTTCAACACATATGGATTGGCCATTATTTGCTATGGCCTAGTGTTTCAGGGTGAGAAATCTGGAGCCAGACTTGTGGTTTGAATTTGAATCCACCAGTGTTAGCTTTGTGATTTTTGTGTGGGGGCTGTGGTGCAGGGAGGCACATGATCTTCAGCCTGTGTCTTTACTTGCTCTCTTATAAAGTGGGGGTTCTGAATGTTCCTACCTCACACTGTTGTTTGTTGCTGTTGTTTAGCCACTAAGTTGTGTCTGACTCTTTTGCAGCCCCATGGACTGTAGCCTGCCAGGCTCCTCTGTCCATAGGATTTCCTAGACAAGAATACTGGAGTGGGTTGCCATTTCCTTCTCCAGGGGATCTTCCCGACCCAGGGATAGGACCCACCTCTCCCACTTTGACAGGCAGATTCTTTACCCCTGAGCCACCAGGGAAGCCCCCACATTGTAAACAAAAGGTTTACTTACTTAAGGGTGCTTAGAACAGGACCCAGAACCTATAATATTTTGCGAGAGGTTGTCATGATTGCTCCAAGTCAGGCCCTATACTAGCCCTGGGGTTGCAAATGCAAACAAAATAGGGGGACCCCGTGTCATCTGAGGGCTGCGTGGGGTCACAAGGGCCGCCAGAAGTCGGCTGGGTTCAGAACGCCCTGTACCTGTGGGTTCCCATTTGCTCAGGGACAAGACTAGACTTTAGTCCCCAAACCTGGCCAGACCTGGGCAGGCAGGGACTGATACATAAAGTGTGCTGTCTTTCTGAGTCCCCTCTTTGAGAAACCTCTCATTGAGCGAAAAATATTTCCAACAGACCATTGATACATAACATCCTTTCTCCTCCACATTGCTACATTCCTAGCTTTTCCTTTAAGATGCTTTTAGTTCTAACTCAATCTAATTAATAATCTTTGTGCTCAAGCCTAATTAAGGTATCAATTAATTTGCATCATTCATTTCAGAAAGAAATTCTTATTGGTGGTTCATCTTCTATTTGTCTCCAAAATTAGTGCTCAGGGCTTTTCAGGCAGATACTTTCATTAGGTTTATTTTTATTGTTAATGGGAATATTGAACACACG